TTTCTTTAAAAAATCTAGAATCGCATTTCTGATAAGCTCATCTCTCACTATTTATGAAACCTCTTTGGTGGGCTAGGACTTGCAAACCTAGAATCGCATCCAAACGTTTTACTTAAATAAAAATATATATAAAAAAAAATGCAGTAGCATGTACATAACTATGTTCAAACAAAACGTTTCCGTCAAGCGAAGTAGTCCCCATGGATTCAACAAAATAATTTTTTAAGGTCGCTCCTCTGCCTCAGGAGAACCCTCGTGTGGCCGAGAACCCTCACCTACCTCGAATTGAGAGGGGGAATCTCCAAACACCGAAGAAAACTGTTTCAGATCGACGGAAGGACGGGAAGCTGAGGATAGCTCGGATTCAACCGCAACGAGTTCGGAAGCAACTTCTCTCCTCTCGCTCTCGAATGAAGCTCTCCCGCTCTCTAGTTCCTCAATCAGGTCTAGATTACTCTTCAGCTCGGCTCGATCGGATAGAAGTTTACTCCAGACCTCTTCGTCTTTGGTGAACTTCGTAATAAATTGAATGAGCTGCCAACCAAAGCCCCTCATCTCTTCCCGAGCGTTATGTTCGGCTTCAGCGATATCGTGAGCCCTATTCCTAGCTAAAAGCTCGGCATTTCGGTTTGATTCTTCGAAAAGAGCCGCAGCCTCTTCTAACTCAGCTTCCAAGCGAAGAACGTTAGACCTCGCAGAGTCTCTTTCGGTATTCGCGATTCTGATGCGTTGCTCATTAGCTTCCAACGTTTTCTTCATATTCTCAAAGGATGACTCGAGGGCATTTGCCCTCTCGAGTCGCTCGGACTGATTGGCTAATCTAAGCTCATCAGTCTCCTTCCTAGCCTTTGCGGTCTCTCTCATCGCTTGGTGAAGAAGGTTTTCGTAATGGAATATCATTCCATTATTTTCCTTGAACGCCTTCAGAGTTGAAAAATGTGTCATTCAGACAAAAGATTTTTACTCAAGGAAAAGAGGTTTGTCATAGTCAAAAAGATCCAAACCTGGGATATATAGCAGGCTCGGTTGACGTACATCTGACGGATTTCTGTCCCTTCCCTGGTTTGAAAACTTCGGAGGATGTCTCCAATCTCTTCTACACCTGTAAAACAGAGGAGAGCAATGGGTTGATCAAATAGCCGCAATCTGTAAACAAGTTTTGCTAAGGCTCGCGTCTCAAAATAAAACTTACCAGAAGTCGAAGCAGGTAAAGGGTTTTGAGTCCTAATACTCAGTCCTTGAGACAAGGAAACCTCCGGTCTCGGCTCATCATTTTCTTTTGAGATTACTCTGTCTCCCGGAAGGGGGAGCTCAGAATCTAAAGATTCTGAGGAGGGAAAAATAGAATGCAAAGGACTAGGGGCTCGTGGCGGAGAACTTAATCTAACGATTTTGGGTCTCTCGTTTGATAAAGTGTCCATGTCTGGAGCCCTCCTCTTCGTGCAGACTGAAGAGGTTACTTCTTTTTCTCTCTCTCGTTCGGGAGAGTAAATAGCGGTGGCGACTGGAGGATCGTTAGGGATATCGGCTCCATGAGAGTCCACCGCAATTGATAGAGCCGCTTCTAAAGAACCATCATCAACCAGGAGGGTCTTCCTGTGGAAGTTACCAACCCTGGAGATTGTAGCTATCCGTTTTTTCTTCCCAATTTCGGATAACTGATCCTTAAGAGCCTTAGTCTCAACTTGCATTTTTCTCTTATCCCGAGCATTCAGGCTCGAGGTGTCTTTTTCTTCGGGAGGAGGATCGAGGGGGTGAGTTTGACAGTCTCTGATAGCAAGCCCCGCTTTATAAGTTGAAGGGTGAAGGAATTCCAATTTGTTTCACCCTCAGAAACAATTTGAAAGAAAGATAGGAAGTCAACAGTTGGGCGGGGGATCGTCTGGTTCCCTGGAACATATTGTTGAGTTAAGAATTCTATTTCCTTACACAAAACGGTGAAAAACAATAAAGGTTGGTTCTAACCAAGTTTAGACGACCAATTTGCGAGAAGAAGACCGGAAAGACCTTGGACGGAATGGGGATTGATTCGGAAAAAGAACCAGTATTTCCTCTAAGGCCCATCATTTGAGGGCATTCCGTCAATCAGGTTACGGTCAAGAATATGATTCATGGAAAAGATGCCCGCCGCCGTAGACTCGCGGGCTCGGAATAGCCCTAAGAGTTCGCGAGTGGAAAGAGAAAAGCCTGCCTCTGCTGAGACGGTCAGGGTGCTCAGAACATACCGGAGAAAGTTGGGAGCCATCTAGGGAAAAGCAATCCCTAGATGAACAAGGTACAAAAGGAGAACCTCCGGTAAGGGAAAAAATAAACCACAGCCTTTGAAGTAAACTTCGTACGCACAACAAAAACCCTCTCGCACTACTTCTGGAGACTCGTTTGGTCTAGGAAGAGAGAATTCTATTTCTTGAGGGATGTTGCACAGACGACGAAGAGCGCCAAGGGAAGCATGGGTCGATTGAGACCTGAAATGTGGACCAAATTTGTCTCCCCTTTGGGTGAAGACTTCGTCCCCTCTGGGAACATGGATTCCTTGGCTGTCGTCTTCGATGTCCGAAACGTAGACGGCTGAGGAAGACATTTTTTACTAAAAAAAAATTTTCCTTCTCTGGTTTGGTAAAAGCTTTCAAGGGTGAATGTACGCTGTAAAAGCCGTCATTCCATTTAACCCTATTTAGCGTAAACCGCCTCGAGAATATTGGGAAGTGGGACAGTTTTCCCCGTGGTATTAATATAAAATTAAGAAATTAATGATGACGGTTATCAGGGAAATCAAATCATCTGATTATCCGAGATCAGCGTAACAGCGAAAAACATGGAATAATTCCGGAATGTTAAAGATCTCGAGTTATTAATCACTGTTTACTTAAGTCTTCCAAGCCGAGCACTCAGCTCGCAAGACTTGGAGGGCTAAATGTTGGGGTCGGATCCCACACATTTTCGGTAGGATCCACTTGGATCTGTCCACGTCATTATTATATAATAATCCTCTTGGATTTCTAAATGTTTCATTGCGAGAATCGAGCTCGACCTGTCGGAAGTTCGATTCAGTTTATTAAAGAGCTCGATCTTTACCAGTACAGAGTTAGCTCTTATTCAACATATAGTTCGCATAAAAGAAGGCCGAAGCGAGGAAAATATTGTTCGAGATTCGCGGCAGCGTCAAGACGCAGGAGTTCGGAGTCAACAAGAAAGAGTTCGGAAGATCCACGCGAAGCCCAAGATAGTTCAAATTCAAGCCGTTTCGGTCAAATTGTAACCTACATGATTAATGCGGATCAATGCTATTATGAGCAGTAAATGACCGCATTGATCATGTTTTCTCTATAAAAAAACAACCTCAAACGCATGTGTTTGAGGGAGAACAACCTTTTACCTCTAACTATCAAGCAATACAACATACTCTTTCTTTTACAATTTCGCAAGGCTTTTTACTATTTTATTCTTGCCAAATTCTTTCGCTTTATTTAGTTTCTTGGTTACTTTCCTTTTCAAATTCTTATTTTTCATTTGTTGATTTTAGAGTTTTTTTCCACAAAAATACTTAAAGACAATCGAGTGTGAATCCTACATCCACACTCACTGAGATACCTTCTACTTCAGCTGTTTTAGGCATCAATCCTATGGCATGTCAAGTCATTGGTACTCTTTTCCCTTCCATCTTTTGTTCATTATCAACAGAGAATTAATCATATTTCTATTCTATATCTGACAAGATAGTGAATATGAATACTTGGGTTATAGATACTGGTGCTACACACCATGTTACATATGATAAAAGTTTGTTTGACACCATGACTTCTATTAAGCAAACTACAGTGAAGCTTGCTAACGGTGTAGGTGTGAGAATTCAGCTGGCCTATTAAGCAAAAATAAATTAATAAATAAAATAAAATTAATGTGTTAGAATGGGCCTAAAGCTACAAAGCTGGCCTGGTTTGTTTTAAAATTGTTGGTTTGATGGACATTTTGATTAATTGAACCTGAAATTGAAGCTTAGCATCATTGTTATGTTCGTGTATTGATAAGAAAACTATGTGAATGATAGATGATTTGTATTAAACATGAAATTTAAGCATATAATTTAAACAATGATAGCTGATTCTTAAATATATAATTTAAACAATGGAACTTTTGTTTAGAGAGATTATCATTTAATTTGTACTTTCTTAAATTGTTTTCGTATATCCTAGAGCAATTCTCAATAATACCATCAACTGAGTTTTAGCAACCATTTCTTATGTGCAACGAGTTTTAGCAAACCATATTTACATAATACCACTGAATTTAGCCGTTAGTATATAACTTTTATTTTTCTTCTAAAGTCCGATTGTTTTATTATTTTTTAAAAAAGTTTACATAGTTCTTGCTAGTATTTTCTATCAAATTGATTCGGATACATAGATTTCGGTCAGAAAACGAATTAAATTATTCAAAATTCACGGTTTTTGATTTCTAAGGGGATTATTACGGATTTTGTCCTTTTTTTTTATGTTTTTTATGTATTTTGTTTTTATTTTTCTTATTTATGATATCTTTTCTTTTTTTATTTATTTTTATTTTTAACTCTTTAATTATTTTTATTTTCATCCTATTTTTCTCTTTATTCTATTTTTACATAATTCCTATTTCTATTTTTATTCTTTCTATAACCTTTTTCTTATCTTCTC